GAACTGTTGACTGACACAGAAGCATGCTCAGCTTCATATCACACAAGGTCAGGAAGAGAGGTCAAGCCTAGAGCTGTCCTAGACCTGTGAAATGTCAAAGGGTGTAGGCGGATCGCTGCCCTAAAAGAGTTTCCAGACTGTAAACTTGTTATTGAAAGTTAACTTGAAATGCTTTGGTATTGTATTTGTTTGATATGTTGAGATGTCATTGCTACAGTGAAAAGCCGAGTTGCTGAGAAATATTTGTTCTAAAAATAACAATATGCTGAATCATTGTTTGTCTGTTATGTTGATGCAGTTGGTGCAGTTTAAATGGTTACTTACCTCGAGTTCAAACTACAGAGCATATATTCAAAAGAAACGCTTTATTGTTCCACATATTTTTTCTTTTTTTTAAAAGAAGGGGGATGTAATATTCATATGTGTCACCATACTGAATTGTAATTGGATGCATCATACTGTGCAATGATTGGTTAAGACCACCCAGGTGGTGAGGTCATTCTAAGATGATCATGGCCAGAGACACATGGACATGCACGTTATAGCTAGTTAATAAAGAGCTACGTTTATAAATATCCTGTCGTCCTGCATTTTATTATTTTGTACAAAGCGTACAAAACAAGACAATGGCCAATTATGCAAATTATGTGATGATGTCATTTAGCGACTTTTAGGACAGCCAATAGCTACTTTCCTTACTGAGGAGTTGGCAACACTGCTAGCAACAGCTCTGGATGACATTCCTGCAGTCAGCATGCCAATTGCACACTCCCTCAAAACTTGAGACATCTGTGGCATTGTGTTGTGTGACAAAACTGCACATTTTAGAGTGTCCTTTTATTGACCCCAGCACATGGTGTACCTTTTTTTTTCACCTTTATTTAACCAGGTAGGCCAGTTGATAACAAGTTCTCATTTACAACTGCGACCTGGCCAAGATAAAGCAAAGCAGTGTGATAAAAACAACAACAACACAGAGTTACACATGGGATAAACAAAAACATACAGTCAATAACACAATAGAACATCTATATACAGTGTGAGCAAATGTAGTAAGTTATAGAGGTAAGGCAATAAATAGGCCATAGTGCAAAAATAATTACAATTTAGTATTGACACTGGAGTGATAGATGTGCAGAAGATGATGTGAAAATAGAGATACTGTGGTGCAAATGAGCAAAATAAATAACAATATGGGGATGAGGTAGTTGGGTGGGCTAATTACAGATGGGCTGTGTACAGGTGCAGTGATCGGTAAACTGCTCTGACAACTGATGCTTAAAGTTAGTGAGGGAGATAAGAGTCTCCAGCTTCAGAGATTTTTGCAGTTCTTTCCAGTCATTAGCAGCAGAGAACTGGAAGGAGTGGCGGCCAAAGGAGGTGTTGGCTTTGGGGATGACCAGTGAGATATACTTGCTGGAGCTCATACTACGGGTGGGTGTTGCTATGGTGACCAATGAGCTAAGATAAGGCGGGGATTTGCCTAGAATAGATTTATAGATGACCTGGAGCCAGTGGGTTTGGTGACGAATATGTAGTGAGGGCCAGCCAACGAGAGCATACAGGTCACAATGGTGGGTAGTATATGGGGCTTTGGTGACAAAACGGATGGCACTGTGATAGACTACATCCAATTTGCTGAGTAGAGTGTTGGAGGCTATTTTGTAAATGACATCGCCGAATTCAAGGATCGGTCGTATAATCAGTTTTATGAGGGCATGTTTGGCAGCATGAGTGAAGGAGGCTTTGTTGCGAAATAGGAAGCCGATTCTAGATTTAACTTTGGATTGGAGATGCTTAATGTGAGTCTGGAAGGAGAGTTTACGGTCTAACCAGACACCTAGGTATTTGTAGTTGTCCACATACTCTAGGTCAGACCCGCCGAGAGTAGTGATTCTAGTCGGGCGGGTGGGTGCAAGCAGCGTTCGATTGAAGAGCATGCATTTAGTTTTACTAGCGTTTAAGAGCAGTTGGAGGCTACGGGAGTGTTGTATGGCATTGAAGCTCGTTTGGAGGTTTGTTAACACAGTGTCCAATAAAGGGCCAGATGTATACAAAATGGTGTCGTCTGCGTAGAGGTGGATCTGAGAGTCACAAGCAGCAAGAGCGACATCATTGATATACACAGAGAATAGAATCGGCCCGAGAACCTGTGTAACGATCATGCTGTTTAATCAGCTTCTTGATATGCCACACCTGTCAGGTGGATGAATGATATTGACAAAGGAGAAACGCTCACTAACAGGGATGTAAACAAATTCGTTCACAAAATGTGAGAGAAATAAGCTGTTTGTGTGTATGGAAAATGTATGGGATCTTTTATTTCAGCTCATGAAACATGGGACCAACACTTTACATGTTGCGTTTATATTTTTGTTCAGTGTATATATACAGTGGGGAGAACAAGTATTTGATACACTGCCGATTTTGCAGGTTTTCCTACTTACAAAGCATGTAGAGGTCTGTAATTTTTATCATAGGTACACTTCAACTGTGAGAGACGGAATCTAAAACAAAAATCCAGAAAATCACATTGTATGATTTTTAAGTAATTAATTTGCATTTTATTGCATGACATAAGTATTTGATCACCTACCAACCAGTAAGAATTCCGGCTCTCACAGACCTGTTAGTTTTTCTTTAAGAAGCCCTCCTGTTCTCCACTCATTACCTGTATTAACTGCACCTGTTTGAACTCGTTACCTGTATAAAAGACACCTGTCCACACACTCAATCAAACAGACTCCAACCTCTCCACAATGGCCAAGACCAGAGAGCTGTGTAAGGACATCAGGGATAAAATTGTAGACCTGCACAAGGCTGGGATGGGCTACAGGACAATAAGCAAGCAGCTTGGTGAGAAGGCAACAACTGTTGGCGCAATTATTAGAAAATGGAAGAAGTTCAAGATGACGGTCAATCACCCTCGGTCTGGGGCTCCATGCAAGATCTCACCTCGTGGGGCATCAATGATCATGAGGAAGGTGAGGGATCAGCCCAGAACTACACGGCAGGACCTGGTCAATGACCTGAAGAGAGCTGGGACCACAGTCTCAAAGAAAACCATTAGTAACACACTACGCCGTCATGGATTAAAATCCTGCAGCGCACGCAAGATCCCCCTGCTTAAGCCAGCGCATGTCCAGGCCCGTCTGAAGTTTGCCAATGACCATCTGGGGGGGGGGGGGGGGGTTATTTTGAAGGCGAACACAGGTAAGAGCAAGTAGACAGTATGGTGTATCTCTGGTTTGGTAGCTAGCCAGTTTGAGTTGGCGTCTTCAGCGAAAAGACGAGCAGTTGGATAGGGACTAAGTCCCGATGATAGTGTGGATAACAGCTCGGATGAGGGATCGGAAGACGATGGTGATTCAGGAGAGGACAGCGGATCAGAAGAGGAGAGCAATGAAGAGATTAAGCCGAGGATAGAATAGACGCCGGAAGGGAAAGGAGGGGGAAAATGGAGTCCTTAGAGAAGGCAAGAAACAGATGTAGGTTTGGAGAAATGCAGTATTATCATAAGGAGACGTATACTTGGAGGAATGGAGGGGAAAAGAGAGGCAGAGGAGGTATAAGAGAGAGATGGAGGAAGATTGTGAGTTTGAGTCAGTTAAAAATGGCGGGAAAAAGGGAGAAGGTTTGTTAAAGAAGAGTGGTAGGAAATGTAAGCAAAGTGAGCTGAAGACAGGAGTAGAAATGGAAGTGAATGAGGGTGATGTATCGGAGGTGGAAGGTGTGATGAAGTACTCAGAGCCCGAGGATTGCACAGCGGGTCAGGATAAAGATGAGTCTGTGAGGATCCTTGCCTTTTGGCTGATCCAATTGTGGTTTCAAGATGGGTGAAAAGAGCATTGGGTAAAGTGGAATCGGTGACGGTAACCAGAAGTGGTCTAGTGATAATTGTTTGTGTTTCTGTTGGGCAGAGGGAGAAGGCGCTCAGAGTTAAACAAATGGGGGAAAGAATTGTGAATTGTTTCGCTCTTAAGAAAAGGGCGCCATTGAGAGGAGTGATTACTGGAGTAGCAGTGAATGTAAAAGTTGACTAACTGAAGGAGATGATTCCCGGTGTGTGATGCTCGTTGTTTGGTGCGACGTAAACAGGGTGGCGAGAGTGGGGAAACAGAAGAGTCATTGTCTGTTCTTTTGAGTTTTTAAGTTGAGTCTTTGCCTGAGAAAGTGAGGTTAGGATATATGTTATCCAGTGCGAGCATATGTGCCGAATACCTTAAGATGTTACAGGTGTCAAACTTATGGGCATGTGGCAGCAGTGTGTAGGAGGGAGATTCCAAGGTGTGAGAAGTGTGCAGAAGGACATGAGACAAAGGTGTGTGTGAAGCAGTGGGGGAAGTGGTGGTGTGTGCTAATTGTAGGGGTGGCCATGGGGCTGGGGATCAGACATGTCCAGTGCGAGAGAAGCAGGTTGAGGTATCCAGGGTAAGAGTAGAGAATAAGTTGTCATATGCGGAGGCAGTGAAGAAAGAAAAAGAAAAAAAGTAGAGGAAGATGGGTCAAGGGGGAGGGATCCTGAGAGAAATGGTGTGAGTAGTAGAGATGTACCAGTACAGTGGGATAAACCAAAAAGTGATATATGGTTCAGCAAGATTGGATTTTTAGCGTTTATATCAATGGTTATTAATTGTACTGCAGGGATGGAACGGAAATCCAAAGAAAATTGAGGTGGTGGTGGCAGCTGCAGAGATATATTTGGGTGTGCGAGACTTGACAGCAGAAGAGTTACAGGGAGTGTTAAGTGGTGATGTGCCATCAATTCAAGTTGAGGGCATGAGTGAGTGTATTTAAACAGTGGAGAAAGGTGGGGTTAATTTATTAGTTGTAGTATTGAAGGTGTGAGTGTAGTGTTAGATGGTGGGATATTTCTTTTCTTTGGTCTATTGTATTTTTCAAGGAAAGATAAGGGAGTTGAACTCCGGTCTAGTAGGTGGCGGTAATGCAACAAATAGGATGCCAACCGCCGTTAAACCTAATTGAAGAAGAAGGTAAGCGCAAGTATTTCGTGGTGACGTGCATTTTGCCCTGCTGCGCGCTTCGTTAATAACGCAACTGTACTCGTGTTCACGTCCATTGGCTCACAGTGACTCGTTGCCCATTTAGGTGATTTTACACTGACACCGGTTCCTTGGAACGGTTTCCAACAACACAATTCACACGAAATGTCTAAATTGGAGCAGGTCCTTGCTCTCGAACCGCCGTATGACCTAAAATTTAAAGGTAAGAGAAGAATAATGTCGGTAGCTAGCTACCACCTGGCTGTAGACGCTTTCGGCAGTGGTAGTTATCGTTACCAGCTTCCTGGACCGGGGACGTGTAGCTACAACAAGCCCACTTACACCTCTCGTATACCGCCGCCATTTTGAGATGGGAGCGAGGATTTATGGGCCTGTGCCGAGTTACAGAGATATCACTTTAACAGTACTATACTTTCTAACATTCTAACCAACCCACACTGGTTTTCTCGTCCGCTGGTGGAGGGTGTATGCTCTCTAGTTAGCTACGCTAGCTAACTCTAGCCAGCTAGCTTCTCGCGGTGGTATTGACAGTTAGCTAGCTATTTAATGTTAGCTAACGTTACGTGGTTAACGTTGGCTTGCTAAATTTAAGTCAGTCACTCAGGGGTGAAAAGCTAGTCTGAAAGTTAGCGACACAGGTTGTGGCCAAGTAATCTTAACTTAGATAGTTATGCTAGCCAACAAGCAACACATTCTGATTCGAGCAGACCAGTCATTCACTGATATATTTTTTCCTAGGGTCAGTGACAAAGCTGAAATTGCAGTTGTTGAATGGGAGCAAGCTTATTTGCTGACAGCTCATATGCTAGTTATCCCACTCATTGACACATTGCACACTACATTGTACTGTGCCCAGATAGTGCATGCATTGTTATAGCTACATGTTTATCTGAGTCTAGATACACTCTCTTGTGTTCAATGGGTTATTTGACTAAACAGCAAATTATCTTCCATAATGTGTAGCAACTAGTCTGTTGGTTGTCATTTGCGCCTGTTGTGTGCCATCTTCGGGTGACTCCATTGACCCTCAACACATCTCCTTTCTTTCCCATGCAGGTCCCTTCACAGAAGTAGTGACCACAAACCTCAAGCTCAAAAATCCCTCTGACAGAAAAGTATGCTTCAAAGTGAAGACGACAGCACCTCGCCGGTATTGCGTACGGCCCAACAGCGGCATGATTGAGTCAGGAGCCACTGTCACTGTCTCTGGTAAGGCTTTCGTATTTGCAGACAGACCTTTGTCAGTGTGCTGCCAAATATGACAGAGTATCACTCAAGCAACCAGGCAAGCCCTTTTTGTCAACAACACCAAACAAGAACAAATTATATCCTGTCACTCTTTCCACTGTAATTAATTGTGTGACTTTGTAAGTACAGAAGAATCAAGCATGTACATGTCAAATGCATGTACCAGTAGGCCTATATGTAGGCTTAGTTGTTGACCCCATATCTTCTGTCTCCACAGTAATGCTGCAGCCCTTTGAATATGACCCCAATGATAAAAGTAAACACAAATTCATGGTACAGACAATCTTTGCACCATCTACTGCTACAGACATGGATGCAGTGGTACGTTTTCCTGTCTACATTACTACCAAATACATGTTTGTGCTTTATGCTTGTAGCTATGTCATCAATGGAAAACCTGCTTTTGTTGATCCACAGGTTTCAGTACTGTATTTAAATTGATCTTGTGATTTCTCCAGCAGAGGGCAGCAAATAGCATATTACACAGCACCTGACTGTGTTCCATGTTCATTGTTTTTCCATCAGCGGTCCCTGTGATCAATCTATGTTGTTCACCTTATCATCTACTTGTCAATCTCAACTTGTACTTGCTGAATCTCAACAGTGGAAAGATGCAAAGCCAGATGATCTCATGGACTCCAAGCTGAGATGTGTGTTCGAACTGCCCTCTGAAAATGATAAAATGGTAAGTAATGTGTACAGTTGTAGAAAATATAACTTCTATCAGCAGCCTTCAGGGGTTATGCTTGTTGGTGTTATACATCCAATGTTGTACTGTTGTCACGGCCACAGGTCAGTGTTGTATGTCAATGCATCTTTTTCACATTCTCTCATAGACTACATGGCTTTCTCTCTCTCCTTGCCCAGTTACTGTTTGTTCCTTTCTTTGCCTTTGTGTAGGTACAGTCAATATGCGAGCTCGTGGATTTTTGTGTGGATAAACTGTAATAAGCATTTTTACCCCACACCTCTCTATGGTCACATCTGAAATACTCACATCATGTAACAATTAGAACTTGTTCCTAGTACGTGACAGGTCAGTTTGGTTGGTTCAACAAAGTAATTTATAGCAGTGTATTATGTTTTACCCTACAACCCAAGCAGCAATTGAGAACCACTGTACACCCCAAAGTTAAAGACATGACCTCTATATATCTATGGTCATGCATGCTGCGTGTGCTCCCCCTCGTGTGACAGCCTAGCGGTAGTGCCAGGGAGATCCGTGGTAGCATCATGGGATTCACCACTCCAGGGCAGACCCCCAAGCTCAGTGCCAGGCACCTGGGGGACAGGGCAGCCCCCACCCCCGGAGAGTACCGCACTCCCCTGGGCAGCTGGCACCACCTGGCAGCCCACGACGACTCCAGCAATCTCCCAGAGTTCATGTCAGCACCCAGCTCAGTGAGAGGCAGGCAGTGGCAGGTTTGTGGCAGAGCAGGAAGTGGATGTTCAGGGGCAGGTTGGGAAGTGTAGTTTACTCACTGTAGGTGGTCACCTCTCTCCTAGTGTAAGTTCTGATTGTAATAGAATAGTAGTCTGAGCAGTGCAAAGCAGGCTAGGTATGGTTGTAGCTGTGTAACAATGTAATGATGGATAATGGTTATAGCTGTCATTGTGGTGTTAGGCCCCTAATGAAAATGTATCACCTCTTCATACTAATTTCAAACAAATTACTAAAGTAAAAAAAGTTTTTCTATCGATGTAATAATGGTTTCATGAAATTTGGTCTTCTAAAAAGCGTGATGAGTTTGTTTGGTTGGCATGTACAGCAATGTCGGGAGGGAAACTAGCTTCCTGGTCACTTTCGTATTTTTTCACTTTGGCTGCTTCCAGAATGATGTCGATGCAACCAAAGCTGCCCCCGTCCTCAACTCCAAAGTAGATGGCACGTCGGCGACAAGGCCCAGCAGTGCATCCATGGAAGACTCTGAGATGAAGAAACTGATGGACGAGTGCAAGAGGCTGCAGTACGATGTGGGCAACCTCTCAGACGAAAACAGACAACTCAAGGTATGGTCATAGGTTGTGTGATGTCTAGGGTTGGGGTGATTAATATTATATATTGGCGATTATAAGGTAATCTATCCTCAAAGCATGAAGACTATATTCATGTTCTTGTAAAGATGATCTTGGGCTTTTGGCTGTGGTAAAGAAGGATGTATGAGGTTCTAACCTACAGTGTTTGACTTCCTCTCAGGACGAGGGCCTGAGGATGAGGAAGTCCCACCAGTCAGACAACATGGTCTCCGGCTCGGGTGCCATGAGCAAACAGCACTCTTCCAGCTCCCTCCCCTCGCTAATGGTCGTCATAGCAGCCATCTTCATTGGATTCTTCCTAGGGAAGTTTGTCTTGTAGGGGAGGGGGTGGGCGAGAGAGAAGGAAAGCGAGCCAGCATAGGCTCTAATTTGTCTCAAAGGCCCTCAAGGTTAAAGTATGTGTTATCGTTGACCTGCCATTATCAGTGATAGTGCCAGCTCACTGCGTACGTACATATGTTCTGTGTACCCGAATCATAAACGGGCCTCGCCTTTTACAATCGCACACGGTTAGTACACGTGGAAAAACAGAGATGAATGAACTTTCTCCTTTTTTTGGGGGGTTGGGAGGTTCTGTTCTTTTTTGGGGGTGAGGTATTAGGGGAGGGAGGTTTTCATAACTACAATTTTACACTTATCAGAGCATCGAAAACAGGCGAGTCGGGGTACTGGGTTCAAGACTTTGGTTGAAAAATTCTAATGAGTTCTCTTTCTCTCTGTGGTTTTAATAAGAGTTGAAATGTTCAGTGTCTTGTATGTTATTTTAATCATTTTAAGAAAATGGAATGGAGAAAATAACCTACCAAGCTAAAGACTTTGCTACATGTTGCTGGATGGTCTCTTACATTAATGTTCACTGAATTCTTAAATCCTTAATTTCTCTTGAGGAATGTGAAACAATACAGTATGCTGGGAATATAGGTGCCTCCTTCCATGGACATTTCATGTTTCCTACAGACACACACACAGAATAATAATAATTACATTTCTTTATAGGTTTTTTCTTTACACAAATTATATATTCCTCGTGAGGCAAATGTTGACTGAAAAGATCTGTTCTTGCAGTCCTGTCTAATGGTATTTAACATTGAAATAAAATGTTTAACATTATTTTTGTGGCAGTTCGTCATTTTTGTCCATCTTGTCTTTGAGGAAGAGTGAGGCTCAATTCCATTTGTATTTGGTATCCTCCATTCCTTTTAACTCAACTCCATGTGATTAACATGTAAATGTCATTGGAGTGAGCTGCATGGAGCATGATACATAGGACAAGATTCAACCCCATGGGGCTTTGTCGACAATGCAGCTTGTAAAGGCAATGTTCACGGCAAATGCTGCACATGTCGGCTCTATTCCCTAAAAACACGCCACTTCAATACAGCGGCAACTTTTTTGTAGCAGGTTAGGAGAATTAGGTTAAAATCCATGAGCTTGCCATCATATGACTGTACCTACACAAAGGCAGATAAAGGAAGAAACAGTAACAGGGCAAGGAGTGAGAGAAAGTCAAAGTAACTATCGAAGTGGCGTGTTTAGGATGTCCCATGTCGGCTCAATCGGAAATTACTTTTAAATGGCATTGTCGACAAAGCATGATTAGATTGAATCACGGCCATAGACGACTTGTTGGGTCGTGTTCTTTAGGGCACACCGTAAGACAACAAACATTTCTTATTGACGTACAGCACATCTCCGTTTCCCTTCCTGTCAGAGCATTTTCTTCAGTTTCATGCCTACTGAACACGACGCCGAATGATAATGTAGCAACTCAACATTAATCACATACGCTGTTTTAAAAGAGTCAAAGTCCAATGCACAGTCAGTGCTGCTCCACTACATTCAGCCACAGCTAACCCTAGCTGAGATTCAGAACGGGGATAGCTGCAATAAGCAGTACTTTGACCATATCCATCACGCCACCACCTCCTCCCTGTTTGCAGCAGCTACTCCCCAGCCTATGGAGCTGGTCGGCTTCCCTCCCCCAATCCGTTGGCCCGTGGCCGGCCCCTCCACACTGCACCAGGGGAGCCTGGTAGGAGGTGGCCGTCTTATGGGGCTGGTTAGGGCTGGAGCCATCCGTGGGCCTCTGGCCGTTGAAGAGAAGGAGGTGGTCCGCTGAGTCTCGATCCATGCGGAAGAGTTCGTACTCTGTGTGCGGCAGCCGGATGCCCAGGGCAGCACAGCCATGGGTGGGGGTGACGTCCTGCTCCAGTCCCTGGCGCCACGAGCCCTCGGCCCCGCACTCGTTGCCCCGGAAGATATTGAGCAGGGAGGTGGTGGCCTGGTCCATGGGGGTCACCCTCATGTGGTCCACTATGAAGACCAAGAGGGGATCAGGGAGGTTGTTATGCACACTAATAATGGCATGATAAGCTGTGATCATTCATATATTTGTTATTTTGACTAACGCCTACCTGTGAAGACAAACTCTGTCCCTCCCAGGACCCTGGTGGAAAGGACTGCGTGGCTGTAGTGACCCCGGGCGTACAGGCTGAATGTGGGGTGTCTGCACACTGGGTCGGAATAATGCCAGTAGTGGCCCTCCCAAGTGCTGTTGTGGTTGTGGAAAACAAAATGGCGGGTGAGGAAGAGGACCCCAGGACGGACCTCACACCGCTGGCTTACCCATTGGCCCTGTAGTTTGACAGACAGGTTTTCTTTGCAGGGCAGGATGGGAGGATGATGCTGGTCCGCCCCGGCGATGACTCTGCAGACAAGGCATGTACGCTCATGGTTCTGCAATGGAGAATGTTTTAGAATGTTACATATTGTGAATCAAGAAGGAGAAATATACACACCTGCAAAAGACTGTGGATGTTGAAGCGCATCCCATTTCAATGTGTTCATACATTGTACCAGCAACATTATTCAGTTGTTTTATGACATTTGTGTTTTTAAGAACCTTGCTTAGTATAATACAATAAGAGTAGTATAATGTGTCAAAAGGCTGAATAGATATTTCAAAGCAGTTTAATGAGTTACCGCATGGTGATAAATAACGTCATTGATGGAAACTGAAATGTCAACAGACAACCAATCATGATGATGAAAAACACAAACAAGGCCATTCAAACTGGAGTCTGTTGTCTGACTCTGACCCACCCAGCTACCCCAATAAAGCAGAAGCGTGCTGGCATGGCAGACTGTTTTCTCATATGTTACTTGGGAGTGTTCTTGGCCCCACTACACATCGTAGATTGATGGCAGCGATGAAAACAATCACCATGGCAAAGAAACAAAAGCTTCCCCCTGGCCTGGAAACTGCACTTTGTGATGGGGCTACTACTCCTCTCTCTCTTCTCTGGATGGGGCTCGTTGGACTTCTGAAAAGCAGTGGGTGCCGTCTGTGCCTTGCTCTAAAGTCCTTCATCATTAAACAGCATCAGCCACAGGTGTGTGCGTTTCAAAATGACAATGGCTGGCAATATGGAGATACAGTTGAATAGACAAATAAAATAAGATATTTTCACATCCAAAGCCTCTGTTTTTGATTATTCCAAACCTTTCAACAGTCTGGTTTAGACAGTGCTCATTCGACTCAACTAGAACATCAAAGATGACCATCATACACAATGACTGCCTTTATGGTTTTGGATCCCTGTTTACACTCATTGGGTTGTGTATACAATCTGATAAAAAGCGCATCAAGCTCCTGTTATGTGGGGAGCCCATTTCAGGGTGTACTCTTAGTGGTTGAGCATCAGATTAACGTTATAGCTGAGCGTACTGTATTCATTCAAGGCTGGCTGTAGCTCCACCACCTCCACCACCATAGAATGAATGAGTCACTTTCAACATAAATCGCCTCAGCTTTTAACTTTTAACTAGAGCTCATTTACATTGCCCTGACACTTTATAGGCTGGGAGTTGTTTGTGTTGGTAAAAAAAAAAAAAAGACATGCTGGTAGATATATGGGTAAATGCTGCGGGGAGACATGAAAGGGATGGATCCTTTTGTGAGAGGGAGGAAAGGAGGGAGCTTCTGAACTGAAGGCCTAGTTCCATCTCTCTGGTCAGGCTCCAGTTTTATCCATCTGCCCTCCATACAGCCTCAGGCACACACACTACCACAGAGTAAGGGCAGGAATTCAGAAATTCAGAGCAGAGCATACTGCGCCACTATTTGCTATTCTCTTTGAAGAGCGGCTGTGGAAAACCAACCAACAGATGATCACTATCATCCATGGGTCTGCTCTGCCGCTGGCTTTGCACAATTCATATTCTCTCCCATTTCGCCCACAATCAAACACAGAAAGTGTCTGTTGTCGTGTACAAAATGCTACAGACAATACTGTGATTGTTGAAAGAAAATACAAGTACACAGCACTGGAATATGATGTATCAATTACTGTACATGTGTGGCATCATTGCTGCAACAGTTTGTCATCTTCAACATCCACAATACTTTTCAGTTAGTAGGGATTTGACAAACAGATTCACGGATACTTGAAAATGAAACTACAGTATCTGCCAAAAAATCTAAAGGGATTCTCTCTGTGTAAGTGATGATGACCATAGAAATACTGTAGAATAGATAGAGAATAATAGATATGATATATCTCTATGACTCTGACCTTGGTGTTCTGCAGGGGTGGCTGGTAGCTGGAGGGTTTGTGGTGGGTCCTCTGGGCACGCTCAGTGTGGACGTCCCCCAGGAAAAGCTCCTCAGTGTGGTCATCAGGGACCCGGACGCCATGATGGCGGCGCCGCTCCACACGCACCAGCTGCAGCTCATTCATAGTGAAACCCAGCCTGCGGGCACAGTCCCTCCCCTGCTCCTCATCCTCCTCCTCGCTCCACAGGTCATAGCTGATGTGGGGCTCCCACGACTCCCCTCCACCCAGGGACGGAGCTCCGCAGCTGGGGTTGAGCCACTGGCTGAGGTCCCTGGCTGCCTCAGGGCTGTGGAACACAACCTGGACGCTGTGGAGCTGGTAGTCGGCCTCAGTGCCTCCGCGGACCACCCAGGAGGCCTGGCGCAGGTGCAGCTGGCCCCGGGCGAGGAGGGTGTAGGTGGGAGAGGAGCAGCGGTTGTCCCTGTAGTGGAACTGGAGGACCTGGAAAGTGTGGTTGTGGTGGAAGAGATAGGACCTGGTGATGAACTCTGGCCCAGGCCTGACCTCACAGCTGACGGGGGAAAGAGCAAAACATTAATGATTCGCTATCCCAGTATTATGCAGTGAGTCAGGTGGGTAAGAGTCAAACCCCCAACCTTAATTTTACCAGTCGGTTCAAGACCTAAGCTTTTACCCTAAGAGGTCTAAAGCTGAACCTGGTGTTGTGCCAAGTAGGTTTACATACAGAATAGTACTATTATATATTGCAGTGACCTTAACCCAACACCTAGCAACCTCCTCAATAAGTTAAGGTCTCACATAACAGCTAAAGTGTCTACAGCTGCATGGTCCCGGGTTCAAGCGCCAGTCAGGTCCACCCCCTGACTTCGCTACAATATATTGACTATACATTCTTACAATTATGTACATATTCAATAAAGGTTAATAACAAACCGTTTAATGGCGCATATTACACAGTAGATTACCTGGTGGATACCCAGTGGCCTGCGATGTTGGGGGGCATATGCACTGAGATCTGTCCTCCACCATTGAGGTGCTTGAGCATGTAGTGACACTGGGATGCAACAATAGCAGCATGCCCATCATGCTGCTGGCCATGTTTCCTCCCCAAGGACCTGACACTGGCTCTTATGTCTGAGTGAAGCAGAGAGCCATCACAACCATCTGTAGGGACAGTGGAGAAACAGGCATGTCATTAAAACACTTTTTTAAGAGTTAGAAAACTTGCAATTATGCATTTTTTAGAAGTCTATTATACATTTATGAAAAATATATCACACAAAATAACATAACACTGCATGCTTTGCTAAACATCTATTACTAAATTCTAGAAAATATAACAATCATCCACTTACTTGTCGTTTATAATCGCATTTTCAAATAATATAAATTAACATTATAGGCTATATCGCCCAATATAGAATATAATAAAAATATTTAGGCTACATATTAACTTGTAAATACTTCCACCTTAATGCTAAAAACTCACCATTGAAAAGAAAAGCAGTAGAGATAATCAATTTGAATAATAACATTGTTAGTCTTTACTGAGACGACACGTAATAATTTTTTTTATTAGGTAAGAATCACTCCAATTTCCATTAAAAAGTATTGTTCATCATAAATTAATTGTCTTCATTCCCATTTGCCCGGTTCATCACCAACCGTTCATTCCAGAATAATCAAATAGATCGTAGAAAATTCCGTTGTCAATCATTCTAAGAAACGTGGCTTGCAGCCCTGATACGAAATAAAACGAGTTCATAGCAACAATATAGGCTACCAATCCAGCAGTTCTTCAATGTTGCTCATAGAGAAATGTTATTAATTGTGTTAGGTTTCCTCTATCCGACTTTTGTCTTTTAAATGGACGGCCGCACTCCTCTCTGCCCTCTGTCTGTCATAGTTGAAGAACACACACAAGCAATATTTTCGTAGGAGGGCACTATCATGCTGTGACTCAGTACCCCCCATCAAACCGATGAGTCAAATCCTAAAGTGAACACGACCAAAGTAAACTTCGGCATCTAAAAATAACCAGTGATATGTTTGGGCAGTTTAAAAACAAAAGCATGCCATATTACCAATTGTAGTATTAGAACACCTAGGTCTGCACTCACAACACTGTGCCACTGACAATTTGAGCAAAAGTTATAAGACATCTTATAAGGAGCTTTTTCATTTTTCACTTTCATGAAAGCAGCTTTGGTATCAAATTTCAGACCAGTGGTATAAATTATTATTAATATAAAATACTACACATTCAAATAAATAAATGTTCAAGATATTGCTACACCATACATGAATGCACTGTACAGTAATACAGCACACACATAATTCTACATTCTACATTTTACATCAGGCTATAGCAATACAAATGCAATAACCAATGCACTCACTATTTTTATTGAAATCTCCTGGGTTATGAATTATTTGGTGGTATATAAATATGCCTTGCAGTTGAGTAGTGAGAGGGATATCTGTCAGCATGTGGTCAAAAATACCTCACTCAAATCTGTCCTCCACTGCATTTCCTCAGTGATCTGATGGGTTTTTCAGCTATATGAATCATTTATCAGTTTGGTTGAGTAAAAACATACAAGAAGCCTACAGTATGAAATCCTGCTCCTGAAGTAAACAGTGAAGTAGATGATCCACCCAAGCTTTTTATCCTAATATTGTGAAGTCCAATAGCAAGATTCTGCAAATGGATTACTCTCTCTTTCGCCATCTCCCCTCTAGCTCCATCTAATGTTATTCTGTAAGAGAATCAATGCAGGCACTGAGAGAATATATACTTTGATTCAGTGTATCCACACACATCTATAATGTATCAATGTAAATAATACATTTTACATTTCAGTAGACGCTCTTATCCAGAGGGACTTACAGTTTAGTGAGTGCATACATTTATATATATATATATATATATATATATATATATATTTCATACTGGCCCCCCGTGGGAAACGAACCCCTACCCTGGACGACGACGGGCCAATTGTGCGCCGCCCCATGGGTCTCCCGGTCGCGGCCGGCTACGACAGAGCCTGGATTCGAACTAGGATCTCTAGTGGCACAGTTAGCACTGCGCCACTCGGGAGGTCATACATACATAGTGGCCAACCTTAGTGTCCTAATATTCAACCTGGTCTCAAAGCATTTCGTATTATTTTGTACGGAAATCAAAGACACTCCATTTAGCTTGATATGTTATGTTTTGTATGGTATGTATTAATTTGCGGATGCCCATCACCCATTTTGTATGATATGTTATGGATTACAATTCGTATTATGTTACGAATTTGCAAAATGTACAATATGTTTAGAATTTTAAAAGCGTACAATATGTTACGAATATGCAAAACGTATGATATGTTACAAATTCTAGCTAGGTGGCTAACGTTAGCTAGGCTAGAGGTTAGGGTTACGTTTAGGAGTTAGATTAAAGGGTTAAGGTTAGGGTTAGCTAAAAGTGTTACGGTTAGGCTTAGGGGAAGGGTTAACTAAAAGGGTTAAGGGAAGGGCTAGCTAACACGCTAAGTAGCTGAAAAGTTGCTAATTAGCTAAAATGCTAAAGTTGTCCATGATGAGATTTGAAATCGCAACCTTTGGGTTGCTAGATGTTCGCATTATATGCCCACCCATCCACACTGACCAAACACTCTTTAATTTTTGCCTTAAGTAACCATCTGTCTTATATAACCATACCAAACATAACAGATCAGACTAATTTGAGTGTCCCCCGATTTACATTTACTATGTTACATCTAGTCTATGAGACCAGGCTGTAATATTTGATATGAATATTCTAAAAGGTGCTACATGGTCAATCCAACGTCTGCATTGGCCATTCAGCATTTACTGCGATTCGGCCTCCGCAGAAGTCAGAGCAAACATACTTTTTGGGCTTCATGGAGCAGTGCAGAGCTGTTGTGAAGGAAGTTGTCAAGGAAGTGAGTTTGTGTTTATACAGGACCTTGTGCTCTCACCTACCAATCATGTAAATGCAGAGCTATAGGGAGCCCTCCGCATTGTTTCAACATTTGAGAGGAACACAGCGACGTGGTACGGAGGCCTCTGCATGCCTCCTGAGGCTCCGCAATTACGTCACACCACCCATATGGCGCCTCCAACCACATTTTCGGATCAAGCATAAATTGGATTTAAGTCACAGAAGGTCTCACCAGTGTGTAGTGGGGAGAGACTGCTCCTTGTGCTCACTGGGCGTCTGCCAGCCTGCTAGCACAGCCTAGCACTGGCTCGCCCAAACCCTTCAGGGAACCTAAGCATATTTAACAAGACCAAAATATACTTACTAAGGGCATTTGTGTTGCTAAATGAAAACATGCTTGCATTGGACGCCACTTTGATGCTCAAACATGTAAAATGCAACCCTAGAAAGTAGAAAAATAACCTTTCATGTCCACAAATGGGCATATCTTGAATGAGCACTGAGTATTGGCATTGATGAAGGCATTGAAAGGTTCTGATATCAAAACTCAGTTTGTGGTGTAATTGAGGCGTTATGAATGTTTCCTCAATAGCAATGTCTGGACAAAGAGCTATTAAGATTAGTGAACCAGCTATAAAGTACCCGTGTTTAAACCCACACCAATCACTGACTGACATCCAGTCACATCTTCTCCATCCCCCATCCCTTCCCTCCACATATTGATACATTTTCACCAATGTAGTGGTGCCTGGAGAAGTGGGTATACTCTAATTTTGCCCAAACATTTTTTAGAGTAGCTACCCTTTAATTCAAGTGTGCAGGCACCTAGCACTGTTGTTTGATTAGCGTTGTTTTTGTAGCACGAGATGGAGTTTGCAAAAGTATGGCATATACCCTCCACTACACCACTGCACCAATGTTTTAACTTGTTTCAATGAAACAAGGATTTGTGAATTACCACTACTCGTTTCATAATGTTGACTGTCAGGTGCTAAACCGTGCCTTAAAACTATAACATTAAAGCACTCCTACATGCACTTTGGGCCGGTTTCCCGGACACAAAATAATCTTGGACATACTCCACTGAAGGACAAGTGAGAGTGTGAGTGAGTGTCTGTGAGGAGATAAAAAGAGCAGCTGTGTCTGTGGTCCTCCACAGGGGCTCCTCTCCACTCAGGGGGGATCTGGAGGCCGATTAGGGATGGAATCCTTGTGGCCTTTGTCGTCGGGGGTGGCGGGACCCAGAGGTCAAGGGTCAGTCGGCCCTCACAGATGGGAGTCAGCTGACCTTATCTTCACTCAGGCCCTTTGAGAGGACCGATCACTTTCTGCAAGGCAGGAATTGTAGAGGGATGGCAGATATATAGATGGATAGATATACCACACTGGTGTTGAACATTGCAACCCAAACGGAGATGATTTGAGGTCCCACTGGGCACAAACTGGTTGAATCAACGTTGTTTCAACGTAATTTGTCAACGTATTGTGACGTGGAATCTATGTAGAAAATACATAGGATTTGCAAAAAGTCAACAATGTAAACTGTTGTTTTGAGGGTGAAATTTCAACCACAGGAGTATGTCATCATTGTAACCAATGTTCAACATAGACAAACCTTGTATAAAATATGTTGAATTTGTACCTTTGAAACAACGTCAGATCTTCAACGTTTATTTGCTCTATATGTTAATGATTTAGCCCTACAAATCAAACATGCTAAACTTCGTGTTGAAGTTGCACATATATATTCCTGGAGATCTTGTTGTTTGCTGATTAAATAGTTATCTTTGATCAGACAGAAGATGACCTCCAGAATATGTTGAATATTGTTAATTTATGGTGTACTAATTGGAGACTAGCGATAAATCAAGAGAAGACCCAGATTGTTCATTTCAGAAAGAAGGGCGTGTAGAGAAGTGCACACAACTTTTGTTTTGGTACAACCCCATTATTTTACACTTGGCTCTATAAATACCTTGGTTTCACACTGGATGAACACATGACCTTTGAAGATCGCATTAGAACACTAGCAGATTCTGCAGGTAGAGCCTTGGGGTCACTGTTAAACAAAATGAAAATATGTAAGGATCTTGGTTAGTGTGCTTTTTCTCAGCTGTATAAATCCTGTGTGTGTCCAGTGATGGACAATGATGCTGGGGTATGGGGATCCAAAGTGCGTTCTAATTGTAACAATGTTCAAAACAGAGCAATCTGCTGCTTTCTTGGTGTGCACAAACTGACTCCAAACCTCTTCATCTGTGGAGATATGAGCTGGTAACCATGTATGGTTAGGCAAAAAAGTGACATGGTACATCTATGGAACAGACTGATAAATATGCCAGAACACAGAATCACAAAAAAAGTGTTCGACCGGGACCTTATTCATAGATATCAGTGGGCTAGAACATTTTTATAAAACAATTTGTGAAACTGATTTGCAGTATACACTGAGTGTACAAAACAGAACAGCCTCAATTCATCTGGGCACATGGACTCTACAAGGTGTCGAAAGCGTTCCACAGGGATGCTGGCCTATGCTGACATGCTTCCCACAGTTGTGTCAAGTTGGCTGGATGTCCTTTGGGTGGTGGACCATTCTTGATACACATGGGAAACTGTTGAGCGTAAAAACCCCATACCCCCTTCAAAGGCACCTACATAAGTATTTGATACATCAGAAAAGCAGAACTTAATGTTTGGTACAGAAACCTTTGTTTGCAATTACAGAGATCATACGTTTCCTGTAGGTCTTGACCAGGTTTGCACACACTGCAGCAGGGATTTTGGCCCACTCCTCCATACAGACCTTCTCCAGATCCTTCAGGTTTCGGGGCTGTCGCTGGGCAATACGGACTTTCAGCTCCCTCCAAAGATTCTCTATTGGGTTCAGGTCTGGAGACTGGCTAGGCCACTCCAGGACCTTGAGATGCTTCTTACGGAGCCACTCCTTAGTTGCCCTGGCTGTGTGTTTCGGGTCGTTGTCATGCTGGAAGACCCAGCCACGACCCATCTTCAATGCTCTTACTGAGGGAAGGAGGTTGTTGGCCAAGATCTCACGATACAT